GTTACAACCTGACCTTCATCGTTTACATGAGTCTCATTAAAGACTCGAGCGTTAAAACCTGACCTTCATCGTTTACATGAGTCTCATTAAAGACTCGAACATTAAAATCACTAAACTGGGGTCATGAGTTGCAGATGTCGATTAAATAATAACTCTTGATAAGTTGGTGAAGACTCTCAGTCATCCAGGACATGATGAATTCAAAAACGTTCAATACAAAAACAACTGGACGCACATTTTGGACCGAGAACACAGATGGTTTGAGAGGGGGGTGAAGGAAGCAGTTTATGTAAAAAGAGAAAAGCCGTCTCTTAACATAGGAGGAGGCCTCAGATTTCCACTTTCAAAAACATATAATGCAACTTTAAAACAGATCCCCAGCCGGTTTTCACACCTGATGGGAACAGAGGGGCCTCGACTGTGAATTAGAGGAACATAGACCTACTGTTAAGGTGTTGAGGTGTGACTTGTCAAATCTACGTGTGTGTGTGTGTGTGTGTGTGTGTCTTATCTCACTCAGCCTTATAACCTGAATCTCTCACTCTCTGCTCGTTGTTTGAGGAAGATCCTCTGATGAGGAGCGAAACGTCTTCTGTTACAAATAAAGTCCAGTTGTTTTTGTATTGAACGCTTTTTGAATTCTTGATAAGTTCAGTCATTGCCCAGTGGTTCATGAGAAGTTTTGCTAACAGAAGGTGGATTTTAACAGTCAATGAGAACATTCTAAGCCGAAATGTTGCACAATCAGCAGCACAGAGTGTGTAGTGAAGGACTGTCAGCTCCTACCACACAATGTCCATGATCATCTGTAAAACTGAAGGAAATATTTCAGTTTTTGTGTTTGATAAGCTGATTTGTTGATGAAATGTCTAATAGTTGCTTCTCTGTGTTTGAGTAAAATTCACTCAGAGTATCATGCAGACAAACGTAAGTTGATCCTGTTTCACATTTAGATTCGCACATTTAAATCAAGTTTCAGTCACGTTCGTCTAATATTTGTCACGCCTGCAGCTCAGACACGTGCAGTGAAACACGACGAGGTCATTACAGGCACATTCAACACAGTCATGAGCTGCAGACGCTGCATTAGCCTCCATGAGCTTGGACCACAATGCATTGCGGCCCACTTCCTCTGGTGCGGCGTTCAACATCTGCACACCGTTTTATGCAGCAGGCGACCAGTTTCTGGGCAGAGCGTGAAAACGGAGCAGGGCTTGGATGCACTAAACAAAATTCAAGTCTTACTTGAATGACTCCCACGACGTACGTGAGACTGCCCTCGAGGAAATGTCCGTCAATAAACACTCCGAAGGAGAAGCAGGCGCCGCTGTGGCCATCGATGAGCTCTCCAATGAACCACGGGCCTGAAGGCACAGAACAGTGACAGAAGGAACGGTCCTTTGTGAAACAACAAGTATTTCTGCTTTATGCAAAGTTCAGAGCGAGCATGCTCTTCAGAAACGGTGTGTGGACTTGGTGTTTCCAAAGTGTGAGGGACAAAAGGACAGCTGTTAACTCACCAAAGGCTGTGAACAGGTTGAACAGCATCAGGGAGTAGTAGAAGGTGTTGGTTTTACTGATCAGATGAAGAGACATGAGCACTGAAGACGTCAGTCCTGGAAAACATCCCAAACCAGAACGTTCATCCTCTTAAAGTTGTAGTTAGAAACTCAGCAACCAGTAACAATGAAGAGGTTATCATCAGAAGCAGCTCACCTCTGCCGTTGGGGAGCTGATGGAACCTGAAGGCGAGGAGCACGCCCATGTTCAGCAGCACCGTGGATATAAAGAGGACTCGACCCAGGATGTAGTGGTCTGTGAGGAGGATGAAGGACTGCACGAATCCAAAGCTGGGAGTCAGAGCGTCCTCCAGAGTGAAGTGCTGCTCCCGCACCGCCGAGCGGCCCGCAGAGTCCTGGTCCAGAGTTACAGGAGGGGAAAGAGCTGATGGATGACTGCGACAGAGATGAGAAACGCTCTCCATCCTTTGTGTCGTCATGACGACAGGTGAGCAGCACTCACCTCCACTTTAACTGTGATCCTGTGCAGCCCAGTGAGGTACACAAACGGATCCCACAGGAGAACGTACAGAGGGCCTCCAGCACAGTGAGCCTTCCCCAGAGCCTCGCCATCCACGCTCACGTGCACTGCAGTGATTGGAGCCTCTGAGAAGGCCAAGATCCTTCAGAGGTAAACAGAAGTTTCAAACACAAATGTCTGAAAGTGTTTAACCTCCAGCTGCATAAAAACAGTGCGGACCTGATGTGCGTCGACTTCGGTATCCGGCCCAGAGGCTCCACCCCCGGGTGCACGTACTGCGCGTCCTTTGGATTGGTGACGAGCACGGCAGGCCACTGCTCAAACTGCAGGTCGGAGAAACTCAGCAGGTCGTGGTCAAAGGCCACGACTCTGAACCTGCAGAAACATCTGCTCAGTAAAACGAGCGCCCACACAGGAAGAGGAGAAAACGTGCTGCTGCACACCTGCGGTTGTCCATCCAGTCCCCCAGCTCCAGCTCCAGGGTGCCTCGTGGATGTCGGCTGTGCAGGACGGGCATGAGACCGCCGAGCGTGTGCAGGTGGCCGCACAAATAAGCAACTGCAGCTCTTCAAAATAAAAGGTCCAGGTTTAATTGTTCAGTCAATAAAAGAGATAAAAACAGAAAACCTGCCCCCCCTCCCCACCCCCCTACTCAAGACCGTCTTTGCTTGTTAATCTTCAGGTCTCTGCTGTAAATGAGTCCTGGAGGCTGGATGACACGAACCTGGATAAATAAAGGTCCTCTCTGTTTAGGACCAAACATCTCCTTCAGGCTGAAGCTGCTCGTGTCCAAAGATCTCCGTCTGCTTTAAATTCAACTGGTTCTTAACAACCCCCCCGCTGAAAATAACACAGAACCCCACATGTCAACGGAACAGTCTCTTTACATGATAAAGAGGAAAGTGAAATATTGTTTCTAGAAGCAGTGGAGTGCTGCTTCAGCTCCTCCAGTCTCAGATCTCTGGAAGGTTTTAACAAGTTTCCCTCGGTCTCAGTAACTTCTCTGTTTCCACACCATGACGCTGCCACCACCATGCTTTACTGAGGTGACTTCAGTTTTGTCTCAACACGGCACCTACTCCCACATGTTTCAGTTTTCTGGAAGCAGTCTTTGTTCACGTTTCCATAATAAAAGCTCAGCTGCGTTCGTTTAAACTCAAACCTTCTGCACGACTTTGTCTGAGCTGTGAGGAGAGTTCCTTGGTCTTCATGCTGTCTCTTGCTCACTGGTGCTGATTCTGGTTCTGATCAGGACAAGTGTATTCATCCACCTCGACTGCTTCAGTAGCTCACAATGATCTGATCAATCTTTCAGACCTGAAGAAAACTTAAATGAGTTTTATTGTTTTTACTTTTTAACCCCCTTAAGTTTAAAAACAAAGAAAAACCTCAAGAGATTTGTTTTAAAAACCAACAAAATAACTCTCCTCAGTGAGCAGGTTGACGGTTCAAATCCTGGCCTTTCTGGGTGGAGAGTGCACGTTCTCTCTGTGCATGTGTGGGCTTCTGTGCACGCACGGCTCATTCCTCCCGTCAGATCTTCAGAGGATGAACTCGTTTTGCGTCTGAGTATTTTGTGTTGTCTTCATGAACTCCAGGTCAACAAGAAAACCCCGGAACCGTCGGGGGTAGAACTTCAGCGTACTGGACGTTTGCACCGTGACTGGATGGGACCATCAGCGTTCCACCTGTTGAACACTGGTTTAACGTTCAGTAGCTTCATACCTCATCATGTCTCGAACTCCAGGAGCGGGGGAGACGATGGTGGAGGTGGTGTAGTGGCCGAACCAGATAGACTGGTTGCTCCTCAGACTCTCAGCTCTGAAGGAGTTCAGCAAGTCCATGTGAGTCTACCGTACAACACAAACAGAGGAATGGACTTTATGAGACAAACATAAGAACAACGCGTGGAAGAACGGTCACAACGACCGCATCAGGCTTTTAACCGAGTGCAAACGAGTCTGTGAAGGAAAAAGAGCGGCCTTACAGCGAGGACGTGAAACGCTGTAAATGTAGCTTCTTCTCTAAAGTAGGAAGCAGCAGTGACAGAAAATATTATGCTGACACTCATGATGATCTGACTACGGGAGCTGGATTAGGTTCAGACCACAGAACGAGTGAGGAGCTCAGAGAGAAGACTCGTCTCTGTGTTCTGAACGTGGACACGCTACGTGAGGCTAAAGCAGTTCAAGAAAATTACTAAACCTGTTTGGAAATACCAAAACATCTGAATTTCACAATTAAAGTGTTGAAGAGGATCTGTGCTGGACACAATTACCTGATTGAGAATGCCAAAAAAGTTATAAGGTCTCTTGGGCCCGGGGGTTAGGGTGGCGTCCACACAGATGAAGGAGTAGTTGCCAAACGCAGTTTGGTGCACGTAGTGGAAAGAACCGACTTTTTGATTAGCCGAGTATTTTCTAGAAAAACAAGAATGAGCAATGAAATTCTGAGCAACAAGACAAGCACATTGTCCAGCAGCTCGGAGAATCTTTAATGTCTTTAAACTACGTGAAACGATTGAGCCTTCGCAGGACACGGACGTTGTGTTACAGAAGAAAAGCACAGAAGCAGCCGGAGAGGACAACAAATCAGCATGAACAGACGGATTGGGACATTCTTCTGATTTATTGCTACGTTCAGTGATAAATACTGACCTGTAATAATTGTTGATGCTGTCCAGAGAAATGATGTTGAAAGCATCTGTCAGCAAAATAAACAAGACAGAAAACAATTAGAGCGAGCAGCACAAGAACGATTAAACCATCAGAAATACCTCTAAGACGTTCATAAAGACTTCATCCAGATCATTCGATTAATAAATTCATAATCAGTGGAGCCTTCGTTCGATTCAATGACGAGACACAAAGGACTAAATGTGAAGTAACTGGAGAAGAACTGTAACACACTGCATTTATAAAAACAGCTGTAAGAGACTGCATTCATAAAAACAGCTGTAAGAGACTGCATTTATAAAAACAGCTGTAACACACTGCATTTATAAAAACAGCTGTAAGAGACTGCATTCATAAAAACAGCTGTAACAGACTGCATTTATAAAAACAGCTGTAACAGACTGCATTTATAAAAACAGCTGTAACACACTGCATTTATAAAAACAGCTGTAAGAGACTGCATTCATAAAAACAGCTGTAACAGACTGCATTTATAAAAACAGCTGTAACACACTGCATTTATAAAAACAGCTGTAAGAGACTGCATTCATAAAAACAGCTGTAACAGACTGCATTTATAAAAACAGCTGTAAGAGACTGTATTCATAAAAACAGCTGTAACACACTGCATTTATAAAAACAGCTGTGAGACTATTTATAAAAACAGCTGTAAGAAACTGCATTCATAAAAACAGCTGTAAGAGACTGTATTTATAAAAACAGCTGTAAGAGACTGTATTTATAAAAACAGCTGTAAGAGACTGCATTCATAAAAACAGCAGTAATAGACTGTATTCATGAAAACAGCTGTAAGAGACTGTATTCATAAAAACAGCTGTAATAGACTGTATTCATGAAAACAGCTGTAAGAGACTGTATTTAGAAAAACAGCTGTAATAGACTGTATTCATAAAAACAGCTGTAAGAGACTGTATTCATAAAAACAGCTGTAAGAGACTGATTCATAAAAACAGCTGTAAGAGACTGTATTTATAAAAACAGCTGTAAGACACTGTATTCATAAAAACAGCTGTAATAGACTGTATTCATGAAAACAGATGTAAGAGACTGTATTTATAACAACAGATGTTAGAGACTGTATTCATAAAACAGCTGTAATAGACTGTATTTATAAAAACAGCTGTAAGAGACTGTATTTATAAAAACAGCTGTAAGAGACTGTATTTATAAAAACAGATGTTAGACTGCATTTATAAAAACAGATGTAATAGACTGTATTTATAAAAACAGCTGTAAGAGACTGCATTCATAAAAACAGCTGTAAGAGACTGTATTTATAAAAACAGCTGTAACAAACTGTATTTATAAAAACAGCTGTAACAGACTGTATTTATAAAAACAG